AACTGTGTGACCTCCAAGACAACATGAGTGTTTATCTCTTGTGAGCAATGCTGTGTCTCAATTCTAGACAAGTGCACACAGTAAGGCTTAATAAATAATGAAAAAATTTTTTTTCTGTTCAGGGATTGACCTAAGATTTAGAGCTTGCTAGACAAGTGCTCTACCACTGAGCTATATTCTCAATTTTTTTTTAAGTTGTATTGGATATTCAACCTAGGGCCTTTGCACTGAACTTTATCTCCAGCCTTTTTATTTTTTATTTTGAGACAAGGTTTTGCTAAGTTACAAAACTGCCCAAACTGGGCTCAAATTTGCAATGCCTCAGGCTCCCAGAATATTGGAATTACAGGTGTTTATCACCATGCCCAGTCTGAGTGAGTAAATTTTATGTGTTTATTTTTCACCATTTTAATAAAGGTAGCTAAGGATTGCTGTACTATTACTCCAAGAATATACATGTACATAATGTATTTACATACGTATTAATTAAAACCTATATCCTGGAATGATATTTTCAATTCTGGGTGAAAATTAGAACCAACTGGAAAATATTTTAAATATCAATATTAAATCTTTACAGATTTGGCTTCCTTTAACCTGGAGTGAGTCTAGGGCATGAACTTTTATTTTTAAAGCAAAGCTTCACAGCTGAATCCTAAAATGCACCGGCCTTTAGAGCAGTCATCTTAGGAAATGTTATTTCAATCTCAGAACTTCTAACTGGGAAATTGCACTTGTTAGGGTTAGTTAGCATTTGAAAGATTTTAATAAGCTTCTCCCACTCCATAGAAAGCAACCCCCAAACACTTCAGCTCTGATGAGTACTAGAGGATTGTTAATTACCTTTAGAAATGGTACCGAGGGTTTCTCATTAAAAGAGAACTGAGAAGTGTGGTTTGGCTAGAAAAGATTATAAGAATCCTGCTGTGTCTCAACTATTTAGTTAGCCCTACTATGTGTCAGGTACTTTTCTATGTCCTTAAGGGTCCTGAGCTTATAGTGAGTGGTAGGGGTTTCAGGTCTTGTGTTATTCACACACAAAAGTAAGCTAAAATCAGTTGTGGAAATTGCAGTTTCATTTGCTTCAAGTAAACCATTTATGCTGGACAGTGGGCTGGGCTTTGTTGAACTTATAGAACAGCTCATATGATTGACCCTCTTGGCTCACATGAATTAATAGTACGGCAGAATTCATACTGAGACATTCTTTACTATAACAAGGCTCCTGGCATAAAGTCTGAAAGCAAGATCTATAGTCTTCACCTCTCTAGTCTCCAATATTGCAAAAAAGCACTTTCCAATGTGAGCAGCCCAGCTGTCTCAGAGCAATTTGTGTGAATTTGCAATCTACAGCCCTGGGTAGAAGCATTTGAATTTTGATTCTATTCTTTGAGAGACAAAGGCAGATGTCACAGTTCTACCTCAACATCCCCAGTATTTTTCTGCATTTCAAATATATAATTTAATTTCTAGTTGGCAAGTCAGGGAAAATAACCTTCAACCTTGTTTGCTCCACTTTTGTGATCTCCCTTGGCATTTTCCAGCATGTAACTGAGCCATGCTTGGCCGTAAGGATGCTTGGATTCTTGGGCAGGCTAAGCCAACCACATCTCTGAGCCAAGGAAGGTGAGCGGCCATGGGGCCATTAACGAGGGTGGCAAAATGAGCAATCATAATGCAGTAGTGAAACAAGGTATTTTCTAGTCAGAATCTAGCCATAGTCCTTGGGGCTTTTCCTTCTAACACTGAGTTGAGTGTTTTAAGGACAAGGACTGTTACTAACAATAAAATTTTATGTGTTACAAGTGCCTTCAATTGTAGCAAATAAAAGTGACCATAGTGGAAAAACAGCCTATATTATTCATAAAGAGAGCATGCTTAAATAAGAAATTCTATGTCCATACATGGAAATCATCTAGTTTTTAAAAATAATGATTTGATTTGTTTGTACTCATAGAAGATATTATCAAGAGGATAAAGATCAAGTATCATATCAACACTCAGGAAGAAGCAATATTTTCTCTGTATTATTTTAGTCTTAAACAAGACTATATTTATTAGTATTATAATTAAAATATAGTAAGAAAAGTGAGAAGTCTGAGTAAAATTACAATGTCTTATATCTCCAGTATTACCCAGAAAGAGAAAATTGCCTTTGGAGCTGAGTTACAGAACATGAAATCAGGAGGTTTCTGGGTACCATTTTCAATTCTTGAGTGTTCTGCAAGGCCCATTTCTGTACCTTTTACTTCATCCAGCTATAAAGTTATAATTTTGATGATTTGTCATTTCACCCATAAAAATGCATAAATTTTGAAAGAAGTAGTTAAAGACTTGTGAGTTAACACTGGCAAACCACAAGGATCACTCTCTTGCTCATTCTGATGATAGATAATCGATACTGCATTGCTAAATGATTGGAGATTCAACACGAGGCTTTGTTATTTTCACTTATTTTGGTAAGGAAAAGTTATACCCAAGGCTGAAACTATAATAATTGTAAATACAGAAATTTTAGAATGTATCTACTAGATAAACTTTTATGGGAAGGAGTCTTCTTAAATGACAAACAATGCTTTTCTAGTTGATAGTACAATTTTATGAACTTATGAATAAGAATTATTTTAAAAATACAGTTTGCCTTATATGTTGTTATGGTGCTAAATGTGTCTAGAGTCTCTCTTTGAAAAGCCCATTCTCACATGTTTTATGACAAACTTGATCACCATGAGAAAAAGTTGGCCTGGCAGTGATTTTCCTAGACCCGAACACACCCAAGCTCACTCCTTTCTTTAGATTTAGCAGATTCCGTGACCTCTCCTTCAAGTGTTAATCTCTGAAAAACTTTTTCAAGTCTCATTGGAATCTCTTGTATAGAATCGATGAGGTTTGAGGATAATTAAATAACTGGAGAGAGGATAAGGTGTAGCCTGCTTATCCATTTTGCATCCTTTTAGGTGTTTTGGGAACTCAACACCCTTTCACAGTTCACTTTGGGCTTTGAGTGAGTCTGACTAGGAAGTGCTGTAGGAAACTTGATCTGGACTTGAGGAATTTCTGTTTCTGATTGATAGAATCAACACTCGGTCCACCATCTAGCTTGGTATCTGCAGCAAGTTGTATAAATCATGGTGTCTCGGTATCCCTTCTGTAAAATGTGATGCATGGTCTTATAGTACAAACTCGAAGGATGTGAACAACTCTGAGAGTCCATATTTAAAATTACTAAACAATCCATGGCCCTTCCTCCAACAAATTTCCTCATACTCCCCTCAGTTTGGCTCAGGACTGGAACAAAAAAATATAAGAAATGAATTGTAGGGAAATCTTACATGGCTACTTCTTATTTCAAGAGACCAGAGGAAATAACATTAGCTGTGTCTACCTCAAAAAAAGAGATTTCCTTTAATTACCCAGCCTTCTTTCAGGATAGAACATTAAGAAGCCAAAAGACATGATGTAAGAGTTACTGGAAGGGCCCCTTTTAGTCAGTGTTTTGGTTTTAGGTGTCAATGTCTCCTGAAAGTTGTAGAAAGTCCATCCAGCGGATGATTGCTTCAAGGGGGAAATGAGGATGGCAGCTGTTTGTTGACTTGTGTGTTTGAGGAACAATAGATACAGGTCGACATAACATCTTAATTAACACTTCCCTCCTCTAACACTCTTGTTCTCCTCTCACCTTTGTCTCTTTTCTTTCACTGAAAAAGATAAGATTTTTAAATGGCTTTGAAGATACTAACCTCAGTCTCCCTGAACTACAAAAAGACCCAAATATTTTTCGTGATTTAACAACACACAGGTAAAAAATCAGAAGCAGAAGTCTTTTATACCTCTTTCTAAAGTAAAGTTCATCACCTCTCTGGTTACGTGTCTCAAATCTTGTATCAAGTCGGACTTGGTGCGCACACCTGCAATCCCAGCACTCGGGAGGCTGAGGCAGGAGGTTCGCTGTGAGTTTGAGACCAGCCTGGGCTACAAAGTGAGTTCCAGGTCAGTCTCAACTACATAGTGAGACACTGTTTCAAAAAACAAACAAACAAATCTTGTATCAAAATCACCTTGGTGCTTTGAAAAAGACAGATCTCTAGGTCTTAACAAATCAATCCAGAATTCCCTGGAGTGGGGCTTAGAGATGTGTGTGTGTGTGTGTGTGTGTGTGTGTGTGCACGCGTGCACATGTGCGCTAAGGATTTCAGAGCTTCGCACATGGTACACAAATGCTATGCCACTGAGCTATACTCCCATACCTGAATCTTCATTTTTAACAAACTCCCATAAAGAATTCATTTCTCCACAGATTGGACACCTGTATCTCAATGACTTAATCAAGGTCATGCTCTTGCTAATAACTGGTCTCATATAACCTATCTCTGAACCACTCCGATGTGTTTTACAGAAAATGCTGCAGTTAGTATTCTGTTTTAGAGCACAGCATACATGTCATGTGCTAATTATGACCAGTGACACCATGAAATTAAAGTGCATTACTTAATGCTTTCAATTTCTTATAATGATGGTAAGGTGGCATGTCATGGGGCCATTTTAGCCCCAGACATCACTCCAGAGAATTCCAAACAGATATAGACAAGTGCCATCGGGACCCAGATCCTTTCAGCTCAGGCTGTTTACTCATGAGAATAGGATGTCCTGAAGCAACACTTCCCCCAAGTGACGTGTTGATAAGTCCAGTTATCAGAAAGATATTACCGGGGTGTGATATGCAGGGCATTCGCATTTTCTTGATAGGCCAGTCATATGCAGGCTGACAAAGAAGGAAAAAGAGCAGTGATGTGGTGCAATGTCAACAGGCAGCTGTCCCCTGGCTTCTCGATAAATAGGATGACTCACATTTCTGAGCGGTGTGGTCACTGCCAAAGGAATGGGCCTCTCACATTTCTTCCTGATTCACATATTCAGTAGGGCAAGCTTGTCATCTGCTCCCTCTTGGGCTTCCCAGACACTGAGTCTGGAATGAAAATTCACCTGCCTCTGTGTTGACCAGTGGTGGGGGAAGGGGTGTTACTTGGGTTCCCAGGTTGGAAGATTATCTCACCCAGGCTGAACTATATAAACTGGCCAGGGTAGAGAAGCACAGCAGGGCTGACTCCAGGGCTTCATTCCATAGGAAAAACACACACACAGAATCACAGCTGCCAACATGATGGTGCTGAAAGTAGAGGACCTGGTACGTAAGACACATTATTTTTCCACAATGAAAACTAGTTTGTGTTGGTTTTTACTTGTAAGTTGAAATGCACTCTTCTTTCAGGCAAAATGTCATATATGGAAAAAAATTGGTTTATGTGATGAAAAAATAGTGCAATTGGGAAAAAAATGGACCTGCCAGTAATGATTTCTGTTCATATTTCCTACTTATTATCTTCTCCTTGGGTTTTGTTACAGCAGTGGAGAATCAAATGTAGTTATGAAAATGCCTTAGGGTAGATAATGTTTTAGTACAAGAATATATGGCTGGAAATTTTACAATTCAGGCCAAGAGTTATCAAAATTGCTTAAAATGAAGGAATTTTAAGTAAGCAGAGTAAGGTTTGTAAATTTCCTGGGAGAAATATGATCATGTGGATTAAAAGTCAATTTCAGTGTATCAGCCTTACGTTAGCCTTGATTCAACCGCGAGTAGATCAAGCACCTGAAGAGAACCCTGGAATATTTGTAGCTATGTGCCCCAGCCTGAGGGCAGCCTGTAGCATCCTCCATGGAGAAAGATCCCAGGACAGGTACTGTTGCTTCTGACCCTTCCATCTTCACCTGTAGGTCACGGGGAAGAACAGCAGTGGGGAGGCAAGGGGATTCCTTCCTGAGGGTTTCAGAGATGGAGAATATGAAGCTGCTGTTACTTTGGAGAAGCAAGAGGATCTGAAGACTCTTCCGGGCCACCATGTGAACCTGGCAGAGCAACAGTGGATAAGTGAGAAACAGCGAGAGGCAGAGGTAAGAACCTTCTTTGGAATCTACTGATGGGCGATGGGGGCTGAGTGGTGGTGGATGTGACAGCGAAGGAAAGAAAAGAGAAAACAATTAAACAAAAACATTCCAGAAATGTGTCTTTACCACATTCTAACCCATAAAAAGCCAGAGGCAATGTATCTAGAACAGGGTTTAGGGGAATAATTCTTAGACAAGGCCTCTGGTTTCTTAACCAATGGTTTAATGTGCTATGACCAAGTTTTGATTGGAAGATAAACTTGAAAAAATAATTATGTCTAGCGAACAGCCAATGCCTTGCACTGTCTGCTTAATGCCAAGCCAAAGATGTCTTCCTTAATAACAGGGTTTTCATTCCATGGATCATTGTTAGACTATGTTGGTTATTGGTACTGACATATTCTGTGTTGCCAAATGAAGTTTCATTACTTTCTAACACAGATAAAATATGTGCTACTTCGCTGTGCTCCCCGGACAATCCGTTTCTGAGGCCCTAATTAGTGGGCTGCCTGAAAGAGAATGGCATTGATATTTCAGAACTCAATACATATTATTAGATTCTTTTCAGTTAGAGAATTTAATTTTTGAGCATGATAAAAATTCTACAAAAATATGGGACTTGCTTATAACATTATTTTCAAAATCATAACTTAACAGACTAGATGGCCTCTCCAATTAATCAAAGACTGGTTCTATAAGCAAAGGAAATAAATATGAAGGCACTTAGTTGAAAATTAGATCTCCAAATACCTGAATACAAAACCACTAAATTGAAATTAAAGGTTTATTTAAAATTAAAAAAAAATTTTGCCCACACTATTCACATACTTACCTTGGATCTTGCAGATTTTATTTACACACCACCAAAATCATCAGTAGAACTCACTATATTTTTGAAATCTGAATTTCTTTTTTAGCTCAAAAAGAAAAAAATACAACAAAGATCAAAACTTGAAAACTTAGAAGACCTTGAAATGATCATTCAACTGAAGAAAAGGAAAAAATACAAAAAAACGAAAGTTCCAGTTCTAAAGGAACCAGAACCCCAAATTATTGTAAGGACTATTCATCTTTCAAGTGTTGTGCTACAGGGAAACAATTATTGATCCAGGGTTGGACTGAATGTTGGAAAGCTTATAGTAATTCTCATACTATTTTGGGGCTTTAGACCGAACCTGTGGATGTGCCTCAGTTTCTGAAGGCTGCTCTGGAGAATAAACTACTAGTAGTCGAAAAATTCTTGTCCGACAAGAACAATCCAGATGTCTGTGATGAGGTAAGGCTCATACAAAGTCCAGCTCGTTCATTCAGTGTTTCCTATGCTGTGCTGCCACCTTGTGATTAAGGTGGCAAAGTCTTTATACCTAAAACAGCTTCCCCAGCTGTTGCTACAAATACCAGAAGCATAACAAGAGAGTGCAGTGACCCCCTAACAACCTCAAAATTGTCAACTAGTGTGATGGGTTACACTGTTTTTTGTACACATATAATTCTGTATTTTCCCTTTGTCTTAACTTCTTAGATTCTTGGGATAGAATTTTAATAAGTCAAGGCTAAAATCTACTTTTGGATAAATATAATTTTGTCATCATCTTTGGAGCCAAACATGTCAGCAGCAGACAGGGAATCTAAAGACTAGAGGTCAAATTCTAGCTTTATCACTACCTTATTATTTGATTTTTTCAACAGCTCATTTGCATTCTGTTAGCCCTGGTTTCCTCTTCTGCAAACATAGGTCTTGGAGTGAAATAATGTTCCAAGTTATTTCTGTTCTAATACTCTAACTCATTCATATGAAGCCAAATTGATAAAAGTTACTAATCTTTTTGCATGCTTGCCCCTTTTAACTGAAATAGGTCAGCACACCAAAAATGAGTCTCACATTCTCTTAAAAATAAATTAGTTTTTTTTTTTTTTAACAGCAACTAAGCATCTCTTCTAGATGGAAGAACACTGAATGTGTATGGCAAATATTTTGTGAACAAGGGTGGTACAAAATACAAGAAAGAAAAATGTCAGTATTTATGTAGTTTTGAAGTTTTAAATCGACATTCCTTTGAGCACTTGCAAATGTTTAAGACAGGAAGCTCAAAGCACAGTTGTAAGATAATTATTCTAATTCTGCAATCCCAGTTAACTTTGACACTGCTACTTCACAAAGAAGCACTTCACTTTCTATTAGGTCATAAGACTCCTCAGTTTCATACCTTTTAAAGGATTATTCACATTTATATATGCATTGCTATCTTTTTTGAAAATCTCTGACAGTATAAACGGACAGCCCTTCACAGAGCATGTTTGGAAGGACATTTGGCAATTGTGGAGAAGTTAATAGAAGCTGGAGCCCAGATAGAATTCCGTGATATGGTAAATATACTTCTTTTCTTAGAGATGAGCCAAAATAAATAGACTATATGAAGCTCTAGAAATCCTACAATGAAACAACAGGCTGATTGGATTGAAATTGACCTGAGAGAACTAGGCAAAAGCTCATTTCTTCATTCAAAGGAAAGTTCGGAGATGGGACATGTGGGAAGTATTTCTCATGCATACTGAAAAAGAAAGAGTTCCAGAGAAGAGAAAGAAATGAAAGCTATGGGACAGAATTTAATAACCTCATCAAAGAGTTAAGTCATTATGAAGTCAGTAGCATTATTCAGAAGTAATATAGTAAACACTTGCCTTTCAACACCCCTGCCTTCCATTATACACAGCAGCCTGCTCTTGGCCCCTTGGCTGCCAACAATGGCTACAAATTTTAGCAGCACATTTTATATGTTAGATGCCAATTTCTGTTGATGAGATTTGGAGCTAGACTGCATACTAAATGAATTGCATCTAAAGAAAACAGCTGCTATTCAGACCTTAATAATTCAACAACTGTTGATTTCTACAAAGACCAGTATATAGTTGAGTTTATGAACTGAAGATTGAGCTGGGAAAATGCTTCATTTATTTAAACGGAGCTCAATCTGACTTTATAGCAAAATGGAAAAGGAATAACAATAACAACAAAAATTCCAAAGGATTTGGCCAAAACTGAACCCCAAACACACTAAAAAAAAAAAAGAGGAACAGATAATAAAGATTGCATGGGGAGGCACCAAAAACCATGAGTGTGGGACTTGGAAGGCCAGGATGAGGTACACTAAATAGAAGAATGAATCCTGTACGAGTCAGTGCAATGCAGAGAGACTGCGGGGAAGATAACTGAAGCACCAAAGCCGCTGTAGTGTAATCGCCACTGGAGAATCAGCAAGAAGAAATAGGCAGAGAGCAACAGGAGTGCCACATGAAGTATTAGACCCCGATTAAGAGTATTTTGAAAGGAATTGCTTTTATTTTGCCAGAATGTTTGTTTCATTGTTTTTCTGGCACCAGGGATCGAACTTGGGTCCTTGAGCTGCAAGGCAGGCGGCGCCGCTAAGCTAAATCCCCGGCCTGCCAGAATGTTTAAATGCATGTGTTTAGAACTTCTGAGTATATTTGGGAAAAGTGGTTAAAAGTGGGTTTGCATATCTATTTTGCCACTTACTATGTGTCTGTGGGCAAAACGTGCAAAACAACACCACTCCATAGTTTGCTGTAAAGATCAAGATATTTAGAAGTTATAGCACTATGTTGGTATGAGGAAATTCTCAATGAATAGTATTTTTATTCTTTTAAATTTTTTATTATGTTTATTTCAAGCTTTCCAATAATATACACATATGCACATAAATATACTGTGTACACATATATTCATGGTTTACTAAAATGTGGTAAGGACCTTCAAATACGATAGTTAGAATTGGCCATCTGATGAAGATTGCTCAGTGCTACTATGAAAGCCTCACCAACCTGCATTCTCCTGGGCCTTAGAAACCACGTATGAATCCCTTGAACAGATTCCCCTTTACTTCTGTGTCCCTTTTCCTTTCTGTATAGCTTGAATCCACAGCCATCCACTGGGCATGCCGTGGAGGAAGCCTGGATGTCTTGAAACTGTTGCTGAACAAAGGTGCAAAAATCAGTGCCCGAGATAAGGTATTTTCCTGCCTGGTACCTTCCTTCCCTCTGCCTCCTTCCTCTCCACTTCCTAACTCTACTTCTCCACTGAGCTCTCTGGAAGCCCATTTCATGTGGGAATCCTAGTCATGTCCCCCCAAGAATCTGCCTTGGGGTCTAGGCCAACTTTTGTGCTCACACCCAGCCAAACAGCAGTTTTTTTTCCGATTTTCCAGCTGCTCAGTACAGCGCTTCATGTGGCTGTGCGGACCGGCCGCTATGAGTGTGCGGAGCACCTTATCGCCTGCGAGGCAGATCTCAACTCCAAAGACAGAGTGAGTAGCCCACAGAATGTGTGAGCACTCGGGCAAGCCTGGGTACCCTCGAAGACCCACTTCCTAGTTGGAGACTCCCGCTAACCTGTTTACTTTGCCTCTCTAGGAAGGAGATACCCCTCTGCATGATGCCGTGAGACTGAATCGTTACAAGATGGTCAGACTCCTGATTATGTATGGCGCCGACCTCAACATCAAGAACTGTGTAAGTGCTTGAGACAAGGGGTCCCACTTATGGGTTTTATAATTTCCAGAATTTTTTAAATACTTAAAAATATTCTCACAATGGTAATATTGTGGGAATCTTCTGATGGCTTAAATGCCCCTGTCCATAACATGTCAGTCTTGGCAAAGACTCAGGTCACAGATTCAGAGATACAGGAGGCCATCACTACTGCTATGACTTCCATACTAATATAGCACCTAACAATTCTTTTAAAATTCGGTCCGGAAAATAGAAGATTGTCAAAGTGGCTCACCTTCCCAGACATCTGTGTTGCAGAAGTCTGATCTCCCTTGGTCATTTCTGGCTGCCCTGAGCATGGGGTAATTAGGTGTTGATACACCCACCATTCCTTGAGTGGCCTAAAATTCCACAGTGGCTCATGAGCAAAGGAATGCAAACGAGCTGATAATGAAGCTGAGTAGTTCAGACTAGTCCTTTTCTCCTTATAACCACATGATATGCTACCACTTTCTTCTAGAGGTAGCCATGCTTTTGCCTGTATTTTCCGGATAACTTTTTCCATCCTTCACTTTGGTTTATCCACAAATGTCTCAAAATAATTTCCTATATTAAGGTATTGAAAATCTATGTATAAGTACATAATAATTTAATTTCATCTGTAAGTAGGGAATGCGAACAACTTTTCCCCACAGTCCCAGTTCCCAGAAAAATATTACCTAATATAATTTTTAAAAATTTCATCGGGGGAATGAGTATAATATACAAGAGAAATAATTTAAAGATTTGGGGGAATCTCTTTACAACAAAGAAAAATGTTATCTTATGAATGCAAACAATTTCTTTCCCATATTTGTGTCACTGTGAGACTGAGAAAAAAATATATTTTATCATAAAAGAGAAAAAAATCCAAGAAATCTGGTTTGTTGACAAAAAAAAAAAAAAAGGTGATAAATGGACTTGTTTGGGATGGTAAAGAGTTAATGTTAACAGTAGGGTCCCCTTGCCTGGTGTGGTGGTGCATGCCTGTAATCCCAGCACTCGGGAGGCTGAGGCAGGAGGATCACTGTGAGTTTGAGACCAGCCTGTGCTACATAGTGAGCTCCAGGTCAGTCTCAACTACATAGTGAGACCCTGTCTCAAAAAACCAAAACCAAAAAAACAAAAAACCCAGTAGGGTCCCCTTTATGCCAAAGCCTGTGATTAGATCTTGCTTAATCATTTAGGATATCAGAAAAAGAGCAGATTCAGAAAAATCACTAAAGGTTAAGAAAATATGACGATTCTTTTTTTCATGCAGCGAGAACTCACCAGCAGAGATAAATCGCATACAGATCTGGGGAGACTGTGTAAATATTCCAAAAGTCAGGAGATAAATTTCAGTAGAGAAGAATTCAAGGATTTTGTAGAAGACTAGCCCAACATATACAAGTAGGGCTCACACTTCTGAGTTATCAGTTAGCACTCAGCAGGAGGGACTGGGAGCTATTAATGCCATTGACTCAATGGATTGGTGTTCTCTCTCCAGTAAGCTAGTGGATACTATCTTGAGGGGGATTTGAAACAATATATGATATTTTGTCATTGTCTAAAACTCAGTACATCTACTAATGAGTGTTCTTCAAGAAAGTCACACAGCAGTGAAGTCCCCAAATAGAGGTTATAGAACCACTAATTCTAATGCCTATAGAAACCAGGTAGAGCACCTCTAAATGATTTAAACAAGTGGCTACAGGGTCCCTGCACATGATCTTTCCTAGTGGTGCCTTTTCCCTGCCGAATCCATTGTTGGTCCATAGAATCATAAGTAATAGGCTGCCAATTTTGATTTTTTTCCATGGAGGTCGCACATCCAGTTGAGAACTCTCTTGATGGCCAGTTGTTGTCAATTAAATAAAATAATATCTAATCTTTTTTCTTTTTTTTGTAAGGGGGATTGAATTTAGGACATTGCTTTTGCAAGACAGGCAGCAGAACCACTAAGCTAAAACCCTGGCCCAATAATATCTAATCTTTAAAAAACATTTTCTTAGCTGGATGTAATGGTACATACTTGTAATCCCAGCACTCAGGAGGCTGAAGCTGAATGATTGTAAGTTCAAGGCCAGTGTGGGCTACATAGTGAAACTCTATTTCAAAGACAGAAGAAGAATTTTTTCTTAAAATGCATCTTATCTAATTTAGGTGCCAACATAAAAGATATGTAGACTGATTAGTATCTTAAAATTGCCACTTTGTAGTATCTGGTCTAAAGAGATAGTTCTGAATGAATAGAGGTAGAAATGTTTAAAATTTCTCATATCTAAAGACAAGAATTGAGAAGGGACATGGTTTTAACATTTACAAATATTTTGAGACATATGCATAAGGGAAACAAAATTTTGCCTCAACAATTATTTATTCACACATGACATTTCCATAAACTCCAAGCAAAGTAAATTTCTTGTAAATGTCCAGTGTCATTCCTGAGAAGTGAAAAATTTACTCTTAGAAGTAGTCATAGCACCAAAATAGCCACAGTGCTGATTTATCCCCAGTCCTTATCAATTCAAGAACTCTTTTCCCAAATTGATAGGGCCAAAAGAGATATTACTATCTCCCAGAGCCCATTCTTGAGGATACTATACATATATTTTGACTTTCAAAATGATGTGAAGGTCTTACCACTTAGTATCTAGGGACCAGGAATTTTACCAATCCTGGAGTAGTCCCACATCAGGACAATCTAAAATATCAAAACGGTCTTTGTGAGAAACAGTGAAGGGTTTGTTTGAATACAAACTAAGATCAATCCCAGTGGAAATCATAAAACACCTTGATAACATATACCTCATTAGCATACACACCAACCAAATGTGAACCGACAGGTACCTCCCACCTGCAAGTCAAATTTCTTCCTCTCTTTTGAATAGGCTGGGAAGACCCCCATGGATCTGGTGCTCCACTGGCAGAATGGAACCAAAGCAATATTTGACAGCCTTAAGGAGAACTCTTACAAAACCTCTCGCATTGCTACATTCTAGGGGAAGCTTTCATTTGTTAGCTGCTCACTGGCGTGTTGAAGGGATGGCCCAAAAGAAGAATGAGCAGCCTGAAAACCCAGCTTCTCTTATCAACCTGTTATGAAGATGTACCTAATGATGTATCAAGAAAGCACAGGGTTATAGGTGTTTAAATTTCCTTTAGTGAAACCGCCTCTTTTTAATTTATTCCTGTGACACATATTCAGACTTTCACGAGCATCCATTTGGTGAGCAAAACATAATTTATCTGTTAACACATTCAGCACCTTCCTATAGATAGCTCTAAAACATGTGAATGGTCAATTCTCTGAGTGCCTACTTATGTGTTCTCACTCACACGAGAGATTTCAAGGTATTTTGAAAGGACAAAGATGACGATTACAGCCATATATTCTTTGGAATTTTAACATTTGAATGAACAATGGAAGACATGTAGTGACAAGAAAGAAGACAAAAGACTGAAAGCAATACTAGGAAAAGGCAGTAAAGACAGCCATTTCATTGCTGGGCCTGGTTTTGATTTTCTTTTGACCAAGTTGCACAGGGTACCAAGGTAAAAGAATGTCAGGAGTGTGTGTGCAGGGCAGTGGAAAGGGCCACCATTAGAGCCATGCAGAACTGTTTAATTTTTTTTAAAAAGATGAAAGAAATTGTAAACTGTAAATGTGTAAATGAATATTGATTTGTATTTATGTTTTATATTCATAATAAAAGCAAAGAAACTCTGAAGTTCTAAGTCCTTCTGTAAGTATGGTGAGAATGTGAAAAAGGCCATTTAGAAGGCCTTTGTGTTTTCATTGTTTTTCAAGTTGCTTAGATTAAAAATATCATGTACAATATCACTCTCAGTAATTAATGTATATAAAGATCACCTAGAGATTCTGTAAAATGTAGATTCAAATTCAACTGGTATCAGGTGAGAAAGTCTGGAAGTCAGAGAAAGTCTGAGAAATTCAAGAGGTTTGAATTTCTAACAGCCTCCCAGGTGATGCAGAGGCCTTGCAATGCCAGAGTAACAGTGAGCTAGCTGCAAGACCGAGGCCCATAAGTATACTTCAAGTTCGAGCCCTTCCAGCTCTGATTATGTGGAGAAAGAGACCCCTGGGGGGCAGAATGTTTCCTATAAATTAAAAGTGCTTCTTAGGACAGTAACCCTGAGTATTGGACTCACTAACCCTGTGGACAGAAGCTGGCAGGGGTAAAGGCCCCCATAAAAATACACTGGGTAGGGCCTAAGATTTAGCTTAGTGGTTTGGTGACCTGCCTTGCAAGCATAAGGACCCGAGTTCAATCCCCAGTACAAAAAAAAACAAAAAACAAACATGGGGTCAATGGCTTTTGACCTCTAGTGGGAGCTGTTTTGTTACCAGGTGCTAGGTCAGATGCTAAGACCTTTGGCAAGAAAAATACATGGTCTGTGCCCTGCCCTCCTGGAACAGATAAATATTAAAGAAATAATTAGAAATGAATATACGCTGTCAACCTGTGGTAGGTACAATAAAGGGGAAAAGATACATCATGCTACGAATATCTAACATCTATCTGATGGGAAAGGTGGAGGTTTCTAAAAAGACTTCTTTGAAAAGACACATGTCTATAATCTCAGCTACTTGGGAGACTTAGTCAAGAGGATCACAAGTTCTAGGCAAGACTGGGAAACTTAGTGAAACCCTGTCTGAAAATAAAATGAAAAGGGCTGGAGATGTAGCACAGTGGTAGAGTGGCTTGCCTACTATGCATGAGACTGTGAATTCAGTCCCTAGGATTACAGAGAGAGAGAGAGAGAGAGAGAGAGAGAGAGAGAGACAGAGAGACAGGGAGAGACAGAGAGAGACAGAGAGAGAGAGAAACACACACAGATAAACACACACACACAGAATGAAAAGGTCGGGGGGAGAGGAAGAGGGAGAGAAAGGAAGACTTCACTGAGAGGGTGGCTTTTGGGATAAGTTTAAAAGATAAACTGGAGTTACTCAAGCATAGAGCACTCTAGGCAGCAGGAAGCCACAGGAAAGGACAAGAATGTCGGGGTGTTTGGCACTTGGGGAAATATAATTAAGGCTATGAAGGCTGATATGAAACTCACTTTGGGTAAGTGCGTATATATTAACCTCTTATATAGGCCTCAACTGTTTTGGGACAGTATACAGGCATAGTTCATAACCAGAGAGTCTTCTAGTTATCCGGTCTTGGACACAGATGGGGTTGTAAGGATGGTCTAAAAGACTTTTGTGCCTTGTCCATCTAGTCCTTTACTGATCTAGCGAGTCAATGTCTCACAGGTATTGAGAATTTCATAGCAGTTTCATTCTCTGTTATCTTCCTCCCAATCCTTCACCATTGCTCTGCCTCTCTACAGGGTCCTGCTAGCTTGTCAGAGACTTAAAAGCACAGGGTCCTTCAACTTCTTCCAAATAAAGCACATTTCTTTTACTATTTCACTCGCAGCATAACTTGGATGTGTTAGGATGCGACTAAGTTATCTAAGTGTGTTCTTCAAGCCCCTCTTCCCAAAAGACCAGGGAAGGCAAAAAGAAAAAAGAATGAAGAATTTTTGTTGCCGCATATAACAATTTGCACTAATAACGAGGTGGAGGACTTGTGAAATAATATGGAGTAAGTGTCATAAGACTATGACCAAGTCTTGGTTAGTTCTGGCAATGGGAAACAAATGCTCTAATGAAAAATCCCAAGTTTCTGTCACACACTTAGTTAATTTTGATAAGCTCTTTTCTTCCCACTGAACCAACTCTTTACCCGTAAACTTGTAACTTGTGTTCCCTTTCAGTGAAAGTCCTATTCCATTCACCAATGGGGAATCCTGGAAGTTGTTCTTGACTTTCTTTTTCTTCACTGTTGCCTTTTAATTAACCAAGTACACTGTGTAAGTAGCTCTTTAATCTGTCCTCACTCTCCAATCCCAGGTACCTCTGCCCTACTTTAGGTCACCTCTGCCCTAGGTCAGGCCTTACTCAAACATGGGGTCCTGGCTTTCAGGCTTGATTACCTTCGGGGTTACTTGTGTGTTTTTCAAGTTGCAGCCAACAGTTTTTTTCTAAAATGCAAATCTGATGAAGTCACTCTCCTCTTTCAAACCCTTCAATGGCTTCCCATTTCCCTTGCGATGAACTGAAAATTTAATGTGCTTTACAAAATCCTTAAAATCTGGCTGCTGCTGACTCTATTCTTATCTCTCATTACTTTTCTAGCCAAATTCTAAATTTCAGCTCTACTGAATTTTCAATTCCTTAAAGAATCCAGGCATTGGCTGTAAAGTTCTCATCTATTGTGCCAGCTCCCTGGAAGTCTTCCTTCCTACCCCAGCCCACCCAAGTGCCCTGAATAATTTCTTCTCATCTATCTCCTTTGGTTTAGCTTTGTATCGTCCCAGAAGCCATTCTCCAATCTATAGATTTTAGTTAGTTCCCCTCCAGTGTGTTCCTGTTGTACTTTACTTTTACCCATACCACAATATCTATCATATTGCTTTTACCTTTCCTCTCCACACCCCATGGAAGAATTTCCCCTCTTCTCTTAAATGAAGTGATACATATTCATTAAGTATTAAACCAATATAAAGAATGAAGAAAGTCAACATCACCAACTATCCTAATTCCATGGAATTTGTTATTTCTTTGCACAGTGTGTGTAGGCACTGGAAATTTATCTTTATAACTTTTTCAACTGAATAATTCTTTAAACACATCTTTATAGATAGCATTCTTTTATTTCAATGTACACTGGATTATTTAATCCTGTTACTATTATTTAGATTGTTTCCATTTTCTGATTATTTTTATTGGTAGCAGGGATTAAACTTGGGTCCTTGAGCTTGAGACATAGGTGATGGAACCACTGAGCTAATCTCCTGGCTTCTTTCCCATTATTTTAGATACTATTGCCATGGATACTCTACCCAGGTATCTTTTGTATCTAACCAGTGATTTCTAAAGAAGGAATTTACAGAAATACTTAGTTTTAAATTTTTTATTAGTACATTTACAGCACATAATGATCATATTTATCATGGGTAGTTTGCACATGTATATGTATTTATTTTTTCATACTTTTCCCTTTCTCTCTCCCCATAGAAGTGTTTATAAGGTGGGTATCAAATTATACCCTCTTACACAACATGTTACTATCTTTCCAGGTCTTCAAAATAATTGTTTTATAAATCTTTTTATCTTTCAACCCAATCAGCAAAACAAATATTTTTGATTTTTATGTTAATGATCACTAAAGTTCTCTATCTTCATGTTTATTGGACACTTTTAAAAATAAACTTTATTAGCTCAATTTTTTTATTAAGTTGGGACCTTTGAATCCTGTGTGACATGTATTTATTGAGAATGCTTTGTAAGGAAATGAGGGAAACAGGACAGAGAAGAAAAGAAGCACAGATATGGTTTCAGGAGAATTCGATCTTTAGCCTAATCAACCTGGGGTACTCAGGAACATAAATTGCACTCCAGAGGTCAAAGGCTAGTCTTAATGTCCGTCAGTCACCAGCCATGGGCCAACCTCAGAGGGGACAAAACTTCCCAGGTATCTCTAGGCGAGGTGACTTATCAACCAGGAGAATGCTCTGGGAAGAATGAAATACACACTCAACATCTGAAGAATCTGGAGGACACTGTAGGTATGCTATCCTGGGCAAGGGATCTGGTTAAACACTAACAGCATTTGTCATGTTGAGCTTTTGTTTTAAAAATAATTTCTTAAATAAGAATGTTAAACCTCTTCAGAATTTATACTGTAAATGTACTTTTTAGGTAGCATTTTTCTAACAGAACGTATTTTATAGAGACAAATCATTTAAACCTTTTGTTTTCTGACTTTGATGGTCACACCTAGGACTGGTCCAACATTATTACTTTTAAATGCATTTTTGTGTAGTATTTTACAACTTTGTTTTAAATTTAAATCTTTAATCTAGCTACATTTACCATGGATGCATACTAGGTGTGAGATAGCAGCCTTAGTTTTTTTCCCTAAATGATAGCATAACAATAAGGTAAAAATAACAGCAAAGAGTAATCCCAGCTAAGTATTGCTGATATTTCGTAGGTACATTCTATGACTGGCCTTACTGTAAAGCCAGTCACACCAGAAAATGAACTTGACAAAGCGATTGAGGTCAGTGACATTCTTGATATTGAAAGCTGATAAGCATGAGTCAGCTACAGGAGATAAGTCAGTCCTCTGTGTAGTTCAGGATCTGAAGCTTGTCTCATCACCTTCATGATTTTATATCTAGCAGCTTTCTCCAGACAGCAAGTTAGATCTGTGACTAGTATGCTAAGGGTGAGTAAGGGGAAGGCCAGGCCAGGAAGATTCCCATTCAGCTCAGGAATGACTTTGCCCATGACACTGTTTGCAAGCCTTTTGTATGTGTGTGTGTGTGTGTGTGTCAGCCCCACAGCTGTTACGCCAGTTTCTAAGGGGCCATCTGAGGTCTTATGGGTAGC